TTGATGTTTTTGAAAGGTATTAGGATCTTTTAACCGCCTTGAATGATGATGTAGACTTTAGGAAGAGGTGCAAGAAACAGAGTCCTCCTCCTCTTCTGTTTGTGATTCTTCTTTACTTCCTGTTCAAATTCAAAACTCTAAAATTGTTGATTTTCCTGGAAATAACTCCCAAACACATGACAATTGTAAGTATTTTATTTTATTTATGCCCTTGTTTCGGTGTTTTTGTTTGGTGTAGTCCTTGAGGATCAAATCATGGGCCTTCATAGGTGATTCGATTTCGCATAACCTTGTGCAGTCATTGCTTTGTATTCTCTCTCTGGTACACTTGAAAGTAATCAAATTTACTACTAACTAGCTTATGTTTACTGAATCTATATGCTTTAGATCTACTAAACTCTATTAATTTTATTTTGCATTTCCAATTAACCACGATAATGTCTGACGATTTGGCGAAATTTATCGAATAGTATCTGGAGAGATCAACCCATTATTCTTTTCTCCGTCTACGTTGGTTGTAGTCACTCAGGTGTGGACTCTACTGATAGCCAAAATATGCTTACAAATTCCATATGACCATTTCATAACAAGTTTTCTCTTTACACTCCTGCATTCTCTTTACATTCCAGAAGCTGGAGCTACTGGGCTTGGAGGGCAAATGACAAAAGAGGAGGTCAAGAGCTTGAACAAACGGTCAGAGCTATTTCTTCATGCTTTTGCTTTTCAATTTGTTAGGTGCTTCATTTGGCACCTCCTTTTTAATATGAGGAATGAGTTTTTATTATCTAATTATCTCTGAAAATTTCTTTTAATTACTTTTCTAGTACATATACATCTTAAATAGTTTATCACAATCATCCAATTTCCATATGGTTTGACCTCTTTTCATTGTTGATGTGGGATTCTATCTTTGTAGGTGAAGACTGGGTAATAGGCTGCTATTTTCCTTTTTTTGTTTCAGAGTTTTTATTTGGATAGTTAACAGTGTTATATTGAATCAATTGAGGGACAAGTGTAAATTTTGAGGGAAGCCAATGAGAGGCCACATATGATTTTCGGTGCAGAAGATCTGCACTCCTGATTTTTACTTAACTGATTAGCTTAGTTAATTTTGGATTATTGTGTTGGAAATTGTGATGTGTTCAAATTAAAAGTTAGGAAATTGTGATTACTTTAGTTAATTGCTTTGATTTTTACCAAAGCAAACTGAACTATTTATCAAACTAAACCATATTTTTTTACCAAAGCAAACTGAACTATTTATCAAACTAAACTATTTATCAAATTGAACTAGAAAACCACACTTTATTACCAAAGCAAACTGAACTATCTATCAAACTAAACTAGAAAACCACACTTTTTTACCAAAGCAAACTGAACTATTTATCAAAGTGAACTAGAAAACCATAGTTTTTTACCAAAGCAAACTGAACTATTTATCAAACTAATCCACACTTGTTTATCAAAGCAAACTGAACTATTTATCAAACTGAACTAGAAAACCACACTTTTTTACCAAAGCAAACTGAACTATTTATCAAACTAAACTATTTATCAAAGTGAACTAGAAAACCACATTTTTTTACCAAAACAAACTGAACTATTTATCAAACTAAACCACATTTTTTTATCAAAGCAAACTAAACTATTTATCAAAGTGAACTAGAAAACCACACTTTTTTTACCAAAACAAACTGAACTATTTATCAAACTAAACTATTTATCAAAGTGAACTAGAAAACCACATTTTTTTTACCAAAGCAAACTGAACTATTTATCAAACTAAACCACACTTTTTTATCAAAGCAAACTAAACTATTTATCAAAGTGAACTAGAAAACCACACTTTTTTACCAAAGCAAACTGAACTATTTATCAAACTAAACTAAAAAACCACACTTTTTTTTACCAAAACAAACTGAACTATTTATCAAACTAAACCACACTTTTTTACCAAAACAAACTGAACTATTTATCAAAATGAACTAGAAAACCACACTTTTTTACCAAAGTAAACTGAACTATTTATCAAACTAAACCACACTTTTTTACCAAAGCAAACTGAACTATTTATCGAACTAGTAGTATCACTAGTTCGTAAACTAAATACTGACTATTTTTAAAACCGAACACTAATACTATCACTATTTCGTAAACTAAACACTGACTATTTATCAAACGAACAATAGTACTATCACTGTTTCGTAAACTAAACACTGACTATTTCTCAAACAGAACACTAATACTTTCACTGTTTCGTAAACTAAACATTGACTATTTCTTAAACGGAACACTAGTACTATTATTGTTTCGTAAACTAAACACTGACTATTTATCAAACGAACATTAGTACTATCACTGTTTCGTAAACTAAACAGTAACTATTTATCAAACGAACATTAGTACTATCATTATTTCGTAAACTAAACATTGATTATTTATTAAACGGAACACTATTACTATCACTGTTTCGTAAACTAAACACTAACTATTTCTTAAACGGAACACTAGTACTATCACTGTTTCGTAAACTAAACAGTGACTATTTATCAAACGAACAATAGTACTATCACTGTTTCGTAAACTAAACACTGATTATTTCTCAAACGGAACACTAGTACTATCACTGTTTCATAAACTAAACATTGATTATTCACTGTTTCGTAAACTAAACATTGATTATTTCTCAAACAGAACACTAGTATTATCACTGTTTCGTAAACTAAACACTGATTATTTCTCAAACGGAACACTATACACACACATGAGTTCAATTTTATAATGAGATAGATCCAAGGCAATTGCATGAGACTTCTAAACATAATTCAGACCAAACATAATCATAAACTAGTTTCCAAAAAAAAAAAAAAAACATAATCATAAACATTGATGTGAGTTATAAACATTACTAAGTTTATGGATCACAAACATGCAAACATTAATTTGAAATAAGTAATTAACAAGAAAATGAGATTAGTACCTCTCATCAGCTTATGGGTCCCAAATACGTCATCCAATCAAAGCCTGAAAGCTTATGTCTAAACAAATATTAACTCAATTTAAACAGTTGGTACAACATAATTACTCCATATGGAACGTAATAGATTTCTTTTATAAAATTTTGGTGTTTTGTTATGATCTTAGATATGAATTTGAGTACAAAAAGCATCCAAGGGATGTTTTTTAGATTTCCTCTATCTAATTTTAACAAAAACACAAAGCGTCTATTCGATCGTTTATTTACAGTGCATTAATTTACTGGAGCATACCAATGAAAAGTTTGTTTCATGATAACAAAAGCTAAAAAATTTGCTGAAGAGATGGCATTGTACTTCACATTTGGTGCGACACATATACATGCTGCTTATATTTGTTGAAAGCAAGATTTTCAAAGATTTTGCTTTCAAATTGGTGGGGCTTTGACATGTGGATTTGCAGCATGTATACTAATGGCTTTCGTATCCTCCATCATCACTTTCGTGTTTACTGGGTAAGGTAGTGGCATTAACTGACGGAATGGGGCTTCCGTCAGGGGTAGCGCCTGTAAAAAAAAAGTTTGGTTTTGCACATGGGCTTGTTTTTTCGTTAGATTATTTAGTTTTTGTCCTTTTTGATTAAATTTCAAGTCCTTATTATTAAAATTTAAGCCCTTTTTATTAAATAATAGTTTATGATGGTTTTTCATTAAATAAAAGTTAGTCCAAACCTTTTTCATTAAAACTCCCTAAATTCTAAGGTAGAATATGGAAGAATGACTGGATTGAAAAAGGAACAAAAAATAAGTTAGGGAATATCATATCCTATCAATTCATCGTACATCGTACGATCAGAAATTATTTTAAATTATTTTATTTAAAATTAAACACAAACTATACCTAACGAAAACTAGCCTCACAATGTACGATGAATGGATAGGATGTGAGAATCATATGGATCCTTAGGATATGAAATCTCCGATCCTCATCCGTTACGAGGAGCTTCAATCTAGTCACCAAAAAGAAAGTAAGAAACTATTATTTACCACAAAAATATTAGAAAAATGAAAAGAAGGTGAGGAGGAAGAGTAGAGGTGCTTCTCCTTTTCTCGCTTCTCCTATAGAAGACTTGCTCTTGGATCCCTAGGAGGCCAGAGTTTCAGTTGGACGCTCTATTAGGTTTGTGTACGTAGCTTTTTAATATAAATATTATATATATGTGCATAAGAGTGATTTTAGTTTTCCGCTCATTCGTTTATAAAGAAAAAAAATTAGGTTACAATAACCGTGCATTTATAGTTCAGTTTGATAAATTAATCGGACGGTCATAGGTTATAAAGTTCAAAATCTATGATATCACGTTGTATTGTAGTCACATCCAATTGGCCATAGGTGATAAATAGGAAGAAACATATACATTATCTTTTTTTCTTGTTATTTTGGTTGAGGACTATACCTTCTTCTAACACATTAATGTCTTGACGCACTTAAACCACAAATATTGTAAGCACACCTGATCGATACAATGAATCCAATATAAATATCCGTTCTAAGTTCAGTTGTTTGCTTATAAATAAATTCGAATTTGGGTTAAGTTATATGTCTACCGATAAATAGTTCTTAAAGAAAAGAAAAATCATATATACATTGACAATATTTGTACTCAACTTGAATAAATTTATGGCACGCCTGATCGATACAATGAATCCAGTATTAATATCCGTTCTAAGTTCAGTTGTTTGCTTATAAATAAATTCGAATTTGGGTTAAGTTATATGTCTACCGATAAATAGTTCAAGGAAAGAAAAATCATATATACATTGACAATATTTGTACTCAACTTGAATAAATTTATGGCACGTTTACTAATCTGTAATCAGATTGAGAGGAATTGAATTCAGGAGGAATTGAAATGAGGTGAAATCAGAATCAGATTCCTGTTGAAGTTGTTTACTAAAACTATATAGAATCAGAGTGCAAATGATGCATATTCTATATTAGTTGTTTATCAATTCACATGAATCCGAATCAAAACTAGTTTGATAACTAAAATATCCTTGTACAAAATATATATAAATTTTATTTAAATAATTAATAATACAATTCTTTTGTATATAAAAAACTAATACAATTATTTATATACCACAAGAAATCAGTCCTCAATATCTAGGGAATACATGAGAGTGGTATTACAGTACCAAAACACCAAACTTTCATAGACCACAAGAAATCAGTCCTCAATATCAACGTCTGAAAGTTTGATCTTGAAGTTTCCTAATATAACACGCAACGTCAGTATCTGATCTTATTGCAACTAACCCAGATAATGTAGACGTGTCGCACATGAGAGACAATTTGAGATCATGAACTCATATATGATAGCAACATAAACAGATGAGGCAATAACTAACCCGTAGGCAGTAAACCATTGGAGAGCACTGTGGTAGAATAGAAAAACCTGTGAAACACGAATAGAAATTCAGCTTTCATCATGGAAGTATATCATTGAGGCACAACAAAATCCGAGTCATATGTAACTTTTCTTTTTCCACTTTTAAAGTTTTAAGTTATAAATAAGAAGAATTATATTTGTATCTTCATTGGTAATAAGCCAAAACAACAATGAAACAATTAAATCAGTTTTATCAATTGTGTCATATATTATAATTTAATAATTTGTATAGCAAGAAATACATGGACTACAGCTATAAATTTTATTTTAAAGTAATATTGAGGTAAATTATCCTGTAGCTTTGCCCATATGAAAAGCTCCCATCAACCCACCTCATAAGGCTCCAAACGGGGTTCTATTTGATTGATGGATCTTTGCCCCATGGGGAGGCTGCAAATACCACTGTGCAACAATGCCTGGGGTGCTAAACTTATCCAGAAAATATGGTTCTTGGATGGCACACCAACTTGTCAGCCTACATATTTACTATCAATTTATTGCATATGAGAAGCATATAGTTAAGTGGATTATCTTCCATGCCTACCAATGAACTCATAAACATATTAAGGTTGACAAAAGTCTTACTTTTTGCAAGTCTTAGGTTTAAACGTATTGCAAGTCTTAGGTTTAAACGTATTGCAAGTCTTAGGTTTAAACTATGAGTACTTGATACATATTTCTTTCCAACAAAGATTTGGTACACCACTGCAGATTTAATATTTTGATCCATAACCAACCACAACCTCAAATTAGAAATTTCCGAGATAAAGAAGTAAAAGTACATTCTTAGGGTAACATAAACAGGATGCATAAAATTGAAATATCACTTACTTTCCAGCATCTATAAGTATGTTATAATTCCTCGCACATCTTTAAAGGATTTGTCAGGCAGCTGACTCGGGGAATTCCTTCACTAGTACCAGTACCTATAAATATGATTCCTGATTGCTCACAAGGTGAGCCAGCACCCGTAGTTGCAGAATCTGTGGTTCATTACAAAGTCAGTACACAACAGCTTAAAGCTCGTACAATCCACAAACGGAGAACATTTAAATTTGTCTATATGGTAACAACAAAGCCCACCAACATCATATTCATCACCATGCCAAAAGCCAAGCTACCATCTTATAAATTAGAACTGTTGTTTGGAGTAAGCATATTTAAAACCAAAATTATAACCCAGTTAATCAAATTTGAACAATTTGATTCCATCATCCATTGAATTCAATGCAAATCAATGTATATATCACAACTTCATTCATATTTCAAACACAAGCTGCACAACTCAGTCCCTTATCTCTTATTAAGCAATACAAGTAAAATTTGGCGCCTAAAATCAATGCATAAAAACCATACATACCTTCAAAACAAGAACACCGAACATGTACCGATTCAACGGTTCAAAGGGTATTAGTATATCCACGGAATGCACAAAACCCAGAAATAAGAAATGCAAAATATTGTAATCGGAGCAAGATAAATAACAAATCAGGGATGACGGAGCTTACATGATTGGAGGTAAGAGTTGAAAATTCGTCTGAAGGGAGAAAACCCATTTGCCGGAGCTGTGATTGGAGGGCTGTGGAGTGAGAGTTGGCGTTTGTACGTAGCAAAGTAGCTCAGAGAAGGAGAAGGCCGAATAGTGCTTAATCCAATAGTTTAACGGGTGTTGACGTTGATGTTTCGGCTGGAATCTGAAACTTGAAGGCGCTGGGTGCTGTGTTACCGGGGACGAGGGAAGGAGATTGCTTGCACTCAAAATATACCTATTTTTACTTATTTGGGTAATTTGGGTAAAATATGGCATTTGGAGGATTAATATGCAAGAAAGCTAACTTGGAAAGATATTTGGTGGTAAGTGGATGGGTTTGACACTATAATATTGTTCTTCCAATTTGTTTTGGTGGTGGAGATTTGTCAAGCATTGTTTAATCAAGATACATGCATGTTTGGCAAGTAGATGGAAAGGCATCAGCAAGCTTTCGGGCAAGGAACATGTGAAAGAAGCCAACTTGCTTCTTTTAAATGTTAGTTTATTACAAGTGGGAAAACATGTGCTAAAAACATGTGGTGGAGATGCAAATCCCCTTTTAATATTGTTTCTACATGCAAGTTGGCAAAAGGAAATGCAAGCAGCTGCCCAAGCTTCTTTCGGGCAGGTACAAAACCTCAGCAGGAGGGTTTCCTCCAGACCTCTATAAAAAGGGGCAGATGCACAAGGATTATGGACACTCAAACAAACAAACAAAAGCACAAACTCTGCTCAAACCAGATTTGCCAAAAGCCTTCTTTTATCTAGTTTATTAGCTATGCTGCTCACTTGCGGTATCGATCTCATTTGTAGCTTTTATGTACTCATTTCCAGCCATATAAATTACAAGCAATCTGCAATTTTAGTCACTTTCCTCTGTCATTTATATTTCCAAACAACCTTGTCATTTACATATTGTTCTATCTCTCCATATAAGTAAAGTCCTTATTTTTAAGGCAAACAAAGAACCTTAATTTGAGCAACTCCCACTCAAATGGCACAATCTCTTGGTTCGAAGTCAAACTCAGGCGCAACCTCAATCATTCAAATCCCGTCTACTAGTGGCATCTAGTAGTGGCACGCCCGCACCCACCAATCTTGTATGTGCAGTAAATCCCCGACTTGCCTGCAAGGCCCCATGGCGGATTTAGGGAGCGAACAGAGATAACGGTATATTGGGTAGAAAAAACTGATTCCTGGATGAGGCTTTCTTCCGGAATCCAAATACCACCGGTAATATGATTCCAGGTAAATCAGGGATCTGATTTCCTATTTTTGATGGGCCCCACATACAAATTTATTCCCCAATGTTAGTAAACACATGAATCACTTGAAATGAATGTAATTTTCATTCTTCTCACTCCATTCTTCTTATGTAAACACGCCCTTAAGTTTTCAATCTAATAATTACCAATAATAGTTTCTATTTGGTGCCTCATATTGCATGTAATTCAGCAACAATTAATCTTGCGGAACTTGGTGAAAATTCTTACCATAGCTCCAGTACTATAAATTTAGGCACCATTTCATAACCATATTCTTATCAAATGTTCATTGGGTTCCTCGAATTCGAAGCTTTGGGTGACCCCTCATCGAATTTGATTAGTGCACTTTTCAAGTGAGTTACATTGCAATTGCAATGTGACAAGTGGCCCCCAACAATAACGTGTACACTTTATTTTTTTATAAAAAGATTGTGTACACTTTTCTCAGATCGGTCGTGAACATCCTCCTTCGAGGAATTTTCTAACATGTTTATCTTGGCATTTTCAACTCCCAACAATAATGGAAGAGATCTTTCAACGACAAAGATAAAAAAATATGAGTGTAACAATTCCATTTGCTTATAGAGAATATATCTTGCGCATATATATAAAGTTGTCGAAAGAAAGAAGCATGCATGGCAATATACTAAGCTGATAGTGTCAGACATAGACGAAGAAAATGCAACTTACTTTTGCTTTTAATTAGTGGTTTTTTCTTTGATGAACTCTAAATAGTGGAAGGACCAAATTAACCATAAATCTCGGTGGGAGATTTATCTGATCAGAAAGTTAGTTCCCAAGAAACCTTAACCATCAGCCAAGCTTGCCGTCATATTTCTGAAGAAGGATAGCAATTATTATACGGCCGGAAAGTACAATGGGGTTCAAAAAGAGGTAAATAATTCTTGAAATTCATGACCACCAGAAAAGAAAAAGTATGCATGCTTGAACGCGTGCACTACAAATAGTTTATATATATATATATATATATATATATATATATATATATATATAAATCATTTAATAAGAGGATCCTTATTTTTCTAAAAAAATGGGGACACCCTCTTGACCGTTGGATTTGACTTTAATGAAATTATGTGGTTGAGATTGTGTGGTCTGTAATTTAATTTCAACCACATAATTTCATTAAAGGCAATCTAAAGGTCAAAAAGGTATCCCCATTTTTTTTAGAAAAATGCGGATCCATCTTATTAAAGGGCATATATAAATGGAAAAGGATCCTAGGGATCTCCTGATTGTAACCGTTCATCATAAATTGTGCGATCAGTTTTCGTTTCAAAATTTAAAATTTAAAATTAAATATAAATAGTATATAACGAAAATTAACCGCATGATATATGATGAACAATCACGATCACGGAATCCTTAAGATCCCCATAAAAAGGATCCGGCGAGGATGCTTTTCCTACATAAATGCCGGATCCTTTTCCATATAAACTATTTGTAGTGCACGCTTTCAAGCATGCATATATATATATATATATATATATATAAACTACTATATTATGATTTAAATTTCTTTTCTTTTTTGTGTTTTAAAAGCTGTATCAAATAATATCTATATCATTATATACATGGCTTTTTTAATTAGGATTCTACCCCTTCATAGTCTAGGTCTACCATAAAATCTTTTTTTGGAGATCTACTGATGTTTCTAAAGGCATTTCTTGATTGATGATCATGTACTTAAACTACACACGAAATTTACACAAAATTACATATACGTAATAGAGTAATACTAGGTAGACTTATTTGTAAACTAAATTTGCAAACTAAATGATGTGTCACCAATACGAAATAAGTACGTTAATCAACACTTAAGTAATAATTCAATAATTAACTTCCATGTCATTTAGTTTTCCAATTTTGTCTACAAATTTAGCCTTCCTAGCTTACCCTAACTAACAAGTTTGTGGTAATTTATGTTAGGGCTCTAGCTAGGTTACCTGATGATGTAATAATAAAGAAGCGTGCATCAAATTAATAATTTCATACAAAGACTGTTTAGCTAGAATAAAAATAAACTCGAATCCGTGTCCATCAATACCGATCCCTCTGCATGATGATGCATTAATTCACTACACAGAAAGTCTACAAATTTTGCTTGAAACCCTAGACTCCAATGTCTAATACAGTTGTCAACAATATAATGTTTATAATTATATATCAATATAATGTTCATCCTGTTTGCTGTGGAAGTCTCACCTTACATGTGTGAAAAGATAAACAAATTTGTAAGGATGAGCAACAAGCTAATGCTTCTAAGAATTAATTAACTGTTTCCTGTTTTGGTTGATTTTTTTTCATTGATAATTAAGCTTCGAATGTGGTTAACTGAATTGTTAACCGGTGAATATGTGGTTGAAACCACGTCATTCTGATTTGTTGTTAACAAGCTTTCTTTTAATTACAAATGATATTACACTCTAAGTTATACTAAGGTAAGCGATATTACTCTAAGTTACACTAAGGTAAGAAAGAGAGTGGATTAAACAGAAAAAAGCGTACACATGCACAAGAGCACATAACAGCAGACCCCCTTAATTAATTTTGTACGTAACTACGCTGAACATGTATGTGGGTCCATTTGGAAAAATTGTAGGGATGTATACTCCAAATAGAAACGGTCCAAATTTTAATTTACTATTGTTTATCTACCTTGTTAATTTCCTTGATCTCAGATTTTTCAAGGTTTTAGTCTTGTCTTACACATGCTTTCAACAATGTTAAAAACTGATCCATCAAGTAAGTGCTCCATCAGTTAGCATGTCGGCGATATATTTAATTATATTTTTTAACTAGCCAGATTCATTAGGGAATTATAAATAGAAAGACTGCCTTCTTCCTTTAAATATACCTTATTTGAAGAGTTAGTTACAAAAAAAAAATCAAGCTATTACTTGCAAAGAAATGGATAGCAGAGAGCAGCACGCTGGCTTTGCGGTTTGGAGACCTAGCAGCAGCAGCAACAGAGTCTCCAAATGGAATCATATCAAGATCAGAAGGAAAACAAAAAATAAGAGGTACTTTATTTCTAATATTCATATTGTTTTTGCTGCTTCCGCTTACATATTATTATGCTTACAACTGATCACCATGAGACCAATTTCAACAACAAAAACCTAATGGTGGATTATTTTGGTTTTACATATGTACATCTATAAAGTTATTTTTAGCCTAGTGGCATGATCGAGCAAATAAGAGCGGTAAGATTATTCAAGTGCTGATGGGCGGATTTTGAGAAAAAGTAAGTGATCATGGCCTGCCGGCCGATATGTATATTTTATAAACCTTTAACTTAGGGCATCGATCATTGAAGGCTAATTAGCCATTTTCCACTTTTGCCGCCCGACCTCATTTGAAGGTTGCCCGACCCTCGTTTGGGTGATCATGAGTTCTAATACCTATGATGTTCACACTTAAGATCGATTGACTTACGTTTTGTGGCTATGGTTTACTATTGAATAATCATCCTAAAACGTTTCGGCAGCTGTTATTGCAATTCCAAAGTAGTTATTCCGGTATTCTTCTAAATGCAAGATTGTCTGCCTTATATTTTCATAACCTATGAGTATATGATGATTTTTTTGAATTCTCAATAACAGCTCCTAAAACCTTTAAAACTCTTTTTTTCATATATATAGCTAAAAGGTTAATTAAACTAAGGTGATCATCACCTGATTACGCAGAGAGTGAAAGCCCACTCTTCATGAAGAGAGAAAGATAATATTTAAACTAATTACACTCCTTTATATAAGCTTAAACTATTTTACATAAGTGACTTTTTATTTTGCTGTGTAGGCTGCAAGGATTCATTTCCTCAATGCCATGGCATGCCATCTTTGCATTTCTAAATCCATTGCTAATTGGCGTACTTCAAGTTAAATGTCAAGGTGCAACCGAATCTCCATTCGACACACACC